CATTCATTCATTCATTCATTCACTCACTCACTCACTCACTCACTCACTCATCCATTCATTCATTCATACATACATACATACATACATTCATTAATACAGTCATGCAATGTCATTCATGCATTCAGTCAGTTAGTCAGTCAGTCAGTCAGTGATTTTTTGATTCATGAAATCATTGATCCACTGCTTCTTTGATTCACCCATTCATTGATTCACTGCTTCATTGGCTCATCGATTAATTGGTTCAGCGAGTTTTTGATTCAGTGATACACTGATTCATTGGTTCATCTGATTGGTGGTTTGGAACATTTTTCCATATATTGGGAATAATCATCCCAACTGACTAATATTCTTTGGAGGGGTTGAAACCACCAACCAGTTCATTGTTGGTTCATCGGTTCATGGTTTCAATTGACGGTTCATTCAGTCAGTCGTGCGTGGATTCTTTCATGTCATTTCATTGGCATCTCAACAACGCTTTGCTCATGCGCTGATGCACCTCACAGTTTCAACACTTCATTGCTTCTGCAGCAAAAGAACTTTCTTATTATAGGCCAGATTCTTATAGCCAGCGTTTTGTTTTCGAAACTTCCACCCCGGCGCAGCCGGGCACTATCTGGTATATTCAAGAGTCTACTTTCGAGGTAATTGGGATCAGATGTTCCCATATCACGCCAATTATCATCCTATGTTTTTGTCATTTTTTTTTCCGAACATCATTTGGTAAATTGAAAAGTCTAATTTCGAGGTACTTGGGATCAGATTTTCCCATATCACGCCCTCATTTTTTTCTGAACAGACATCACCACGCAGATCCTTACTTGCTGCCAGAACTGGCTAAACAACCCCACTGTGAGTGTCTTGCCAAGGATAACCGTGAACAACTTGGTCCTGGAGATCCAGAACTTGTTGCCGCTCTTAAGCGTTGAAGATGTGAAATTTCCAGTCGCTCGGCTGTTGCTCAGGTGCGCAGTGCTGCATGGAAGAGGAGGGACGAAACATGACATGGTACTTGGACATGATGCGGCTACTTATCTAGATGAAATATTATTTCCGCACCGGGACGTCACTGGATGATGGTGAGTATAGAAGGTTTTGCAGCCGATAAGGGGCCTTTGGAATTTGATTCTAGGGTCCTTGGTGATGTAGTTCTACCTCTGATTGTGTGATAATAGATATTTTCCAATATTTATTTCTTTATCTATCTTATTTATCAAGGTAGGTGGCCTTGGTATATACTAGTGAAATTTATCCCAAAGGAAAAATCGTATTGGCTTCGTGTCCCTTGGATGTTTCAATATTAATATCAATTTTTATCCGTCATTCGGTAGTCATGCCAAGAAGGGGATTGATAATTAGCCTCTCCATCCATTTACCCTTCTACTCGTGGAAGTACCAGTCAGAACAAACGATCACCATTCGATCGTAGTTATTCGTAGTTCACATATGTTGTTTTTGGTTGAGCACTTAGAAAAAATAAAATGACATATTGTTATGCGACGGATTTGCGGGGGCGATGGATTTGGGGTCCCCCGAGCCAAAAAATCGGCAAAAAAAAACTAAATCTCAAATGAAGGACCCCGAATCCATTGCGGGAAAAATCATGGTAGAACATAATAGTAAGGCTGTTTCCTATGTCCACATATAAATTTCTGCACCCTGACATGGGCAAAACAGACAGTTTTTTTTTCCTAAATCCCAGGGTGCAACCTCCGTATTGCCCAAGTCTAGGTGCAGAAACCTGCACCTTAACTTAGGCAATACCCCACCAAGCACCTAGGATATCGGCAAAAAGCATATTTTTTTTGCCTAAGTCAAGGTGCAGATTTCTGCACCCTGAGTTCGGCAAAATTATAATTGGATATTGCATTTACTGTAAAGGTTATAGATATAGACGTAGAAAAATTGGGAAATTTAGTACTTGAAAAAAAGTGATCATCAGGGATAGTATTGGTGTCTTTATGCCAAAGATATATGGGGGCAACACCCTAGAAGAAACATGAGCGTGGTTGATACAAGTACCTATATTCCATTTTAATCCAGCAATTGGTCGGGTACCCTTCTAGGGAAACGGTAATGGACCCCGGAAAATCAAAAGAATATGATAGACAAATCATCGTAATCGATACTGTCGATACTGGGATGATACCAATTTAATCAACAAATTGGTTGCCTAAAATGAAAATAAAGATGCACATATGAGTATTCATGAACATGGTAGAAAACAAGTAGATACATTAAATATCATTAAATAATCAACGGTAAGATGATACCCATTTAATCAACTAATTGGTTACCTCATAGGGGAAATAACAAACTACCTATCATACACTTCAATTCCACCATATACATTTTTTTGGAAAGACACAAGAATCCATTTCCAGAGACCCCACATCAATTACAAAACCTTATAGCCGATTTTTTCAAGTATTAGTGAATTATGTGTAATTTACCTAGACTTATCAAGACTTATCTATGATTATCAAACTCGCCAGACTTTAGGCCTCACCCAGCAAAGCAGCTGGGTGCTGGCTGTTGTTCCCAGCTGCGGCCATGAGGATAGCTTTCCATGGTCGGCCGTTATTTACTCCATCATTGGTTTCGTTATTTGCTCTTGCTGATGCTTGGCAGAGATGGAAATCCCAAGGGCCAGAGGAATTCATAGCATGGGATGGCGGGTCAAGAATGTGGGGGAACCCCCTCAAAGTTTACAGCGATATTTGGCTGGTGTTGGACCTGTTCAGGGGTCTCAAGTTATCTCTGTCCATTTTTGTTGGTTTCACCCTCATTTTGTAGAGTATATACATTGAGTGAATATGTGTGTGCGTGGGTGCATGGGAAATTATATTATATATATAATATATTTGTATAGAGATGCCAGATTGTATTTCTTCAGAATGGCAGGTGACATGTCGGAACTAAAATTAGACATGATGCCAGATAGAAAGATGGAATATATCACCGAAAATTTTTCCCATACAATGACTCGACAGGTCAATTGTCAGACCGAGTGTCTGGATTTCTCTAGATATAATAAGCTAGCTTAATAAATTTGAAAACATGCCAGAAAAATACGTTAGATTTAAAATGTCAGAATATTTGTCAGAATGTGTGTGTGCGTGTGTCTGTGTCTGTGTCTGTTTGTGTCTGAGTCTTTGTGTGTTGTGCGCGCGGGAGGAATATACGGCGGATAGAATGCCAGAGATAAGTGTAAAAATTCTGTCAGGTAGAATTCAGAATGCCAGATAAAATTGCAAAGAAGAATTCGTTGAATGTCAGAATAATGGCTAATTAATAGAATGCCAAAACCCAGGTGAGCTGGTACCTTGTTGATGATCAAATGCCCATTGTCTCAGGTTGCTTCATCATTTGCGTGCCCTGGTGCCTGCGCCAGAGCAAGCGCCGGGATGCCGCAAAGACTGTGGAGCGCTCCGAACGCGCCGCGGTAGCGGACAGTGTGTGAGGCGCACTTGCGTTGATTTCATCAAAAAAAATGAAGGTCCTTAGGGGGTTGGAGGTAAATGCTTGACACAAGGGATGGAAATGGTTGCAATCTGGGGTGTTGATCCCAGCTAAGGATACTGGATCCATGTTTGGGAAAACCCCATATTTTGGGGAATATTCAAGATTAATATTGAAAAACCCTGGATTTGGGGTTGAACATGAACCCCGGTTTTTCACATCCGTCACGTTTACTGGATAAACGATTACTTTGGAATACTTTGGAGAACCTTGGTTGAGTAGTAGAGTAGGTTAGTTTTTGATAAATTTGTTTGTTTTGCCGCCACTGGGAGATATAGTAGACAGATAAAGAAAACTGAAAGTTGTTTGTGTTTCTGCGACAGGGGTATGGTAAGGTTCGCACTGTTGGAAGGTTGGGTAGTGGTTACATGCATGACCGCCATCTAAGCCGCCCAACTTCAAAGATCGCCGCTGCCAGGGCCACCCTTTTCTTTTCCTAGATGCACACCCAAAATGTGCCAAGATTTTAAATCTACCACGCATGGAATGAGTTTAACCGCTGTGGGTTCAAAACAGCCGGCACTAGCTCAGTCGCTGGTTCAGTCACTACCTCAAGCGTTTCATGTCAGTACGCAGGTGGCGAAGATTCTTTCGGTTTGTGACTGGGAAAACATAGTGATTAGTGTTTTACACTGACAAAGCTGTAATTATACAGCGTTGTGAGGTGATTTGTTACGCTCATTTTACTGTAGTATTGGTGATGATTTTCTTATGATGGTTGTCCGCATGATGCAAACCTGAAAGTTGCAATTTCCAAATAGAAAATAAACTCATACCCTGCACTTTGGGATTCCCAGGGGGTGACATCAACTCTGGGGCCTAACGCCCCTGCGCGTGGTGGACAGGCGAAAGTCTGACGTTTGCTCGCTGGCCAGGGGTGTCCCGGCTCGGTGTGCAATGTATTGGCCTTCGGAGTTGACTGCAATTTCAAACCTGGAATCCTGAAGAATCAAAAATCTGGGGTTCTCTGCACTGTGGAGATCCCCTTTCCGCATCAGAAATGGTTGGAAATTAGCTTTCTGGTTCTTGGATTTCCGGGATTGCATGCTTTCTTTCCTATGGATTGAGGGGGTTGGAAGATCTGACGCATCAGTGTGGGATTCACCGGGCCAACGTCAGCCCCAATCAATTTGGATCTCGGGATTGAACACCTGGGAAAACTGAAGGTCTTGAAAGCACACTGGCGTGTCGTGCAATCTTACTTGATCATTTTCGCAAATTTAAGCGTTTTCAAGCTGCGAGCAGAACCTTAGACTCTCCAAAGGACGAGTTTCATTTTACAAGGGGTTGCTTATTCTGCATGGTGGCTGCTTCGAAGTTCAGGCTTTCTCGTGGGCCCATGGGCCCGTGGGAGCGCAATGATTGTTGAGAAAGACGACATGGACATCTAAAAAGAATACGCCCCTGTAGCCGTATTCACCAGCTGGCCACAGTTTGCCGATTTCAAGAAGAGATGTTTGGTTAGCTGTACTAGCTTGGACCATAGCCCCAGGGTCAAACAGGTTCCACCAGTTGTATGATGTGAGCTACTACTTCGTGTTCAATGTTCAGGTATGGTGTCAACCCTGTCAAAAATTATAACATATGATTGTTGCGCGGATCGCATTCAATTAAAATCATTTGCAGGCCCCAACTATCAAACCTGAAAACTTGTCACAAAACCGGCCCACCGTACTAATCAGGATGCTACATTATATATATATATAATTAAATTTTCATTTGACATGTTAGTTTCATGGTTCAAAAAGAACATTATCAACCTTTGCGCCGGGTGTCCAGATCCACTCTTCAGAGCAGGTCCCACCCATGCACGGTTGTGGCACGCAAAAGGGCCGTCGCGTGAACCTGCCACGTGGCAAGGGTTGACAAGATGGGTGTCTTCCAAGCCTGCCCAAATTGCCACTAGAACCGGGATTGTGCAGATTTTTCAACTGGCTGATTCCTGCTTGAGCTCAATCGGGCTCGCAGTTGAGCTAGCTCCTGCCGCTCTGCAAATGCGATCCCCAAGAAAGCACTTCACAATCCTGAGCTTGAAAAGAAATATATATCATGTTGCTTCGTGTGGCTCCCTCCGCAGAAATAAACATTCTGACATCTGACAAAAATGCTGACAAACATATGCCAGCAAATGCGATTTTCAATTGAAACAGTGAAACAGCGATTCCTAATAGTCTGTTTCTTCACGTTTCTTGGGCCCTTTGTAGCTCTTATAATATATATATATATATATATGTGTGTGTGTGGTGTGTGTGATCAAATTTGTACTGGGCCATCTAGCTGTCACGGCCTTTGGCTTAGAGCGTGCCCCTCACGTTTGGGCGCTGCCTTTCAAACCTCTTTGAAGAATCACCTGTCTTCTGCGGGTATCACAAAATTGGTGTAGGATTTCCATGGTTTCCATGCTTTTGGTACGTTTTGCCCCTGTACCCTGCTTCAACGTGTTTCCACAATGAAGCGCCACTATTGGATTTTGACTGGCTCTGGCTTGGCTTTTTTGAAGGATATTTATCAAAGGCTTCTGGAATCTTGAACTGACTTGGTTAGAAGAAGCTGGGTTTAGCATAGTTTTGCGATTTGCTGGTTTATTCACGCTAATTTCGAAACTGAAGGGGAACTACAATTTTCATCAATTTTCATTGTAGGGAATCTATAGGGCGGAGGTGGGAAAAATCCTTGAACACCCTTATCGACACTGTTAGAACCGTTGCGCTGGAATTTTCACTGCCGTCTGCAGCGTGGGAAAAATTAAAGCAACATGTTTGCCCCACCTGCCAGGTGAAGGCCTCTTGATTTGAACAGAACTTCCCGCGCACACGCCCGCGCACACACACACACACCCATACCCTCCCCCACACCCGCAGGCACACCCGCCAGATCTCGCCAGCATGTCTTTGCCAACTTGTGTGCCAGCCACCCCGGGCTGCACAGCAATATAGAGCGAGGTCGCCAGCTTACCTTACGGCAAGCTTGTCAGCACTCTGGGCCCCCCCGCGCCCGAGCCGTCATAATATATGCCAGATGGCATCCTAGATAGCATGCCAGATAGAAAAATGGATAGAATGTATCAAAATGTCAAAAGGTATGTCAGGTAGAATGTCAAATAGAATGCCATATAGAATGTGAGATATATATAATGCCAGATAGAATGCCCGGATAGAATGTCGGACAACATGTCAGATAACATGTCAGATCGAATGCTATATAAACTGTCAGATACAATATTAGATAGGATGCCGGATATATAGCGAGTCAGAGAATATGCCAGATACAATGCCAGATAGAACGTCAAAATATGTGTACACACACACCTTTATATATATATAACGACCCCTACCTTAAGAATTAGTCACAATTAGTCCAGGTGGACCGTTGGTTATCCATTTTTTCAATTAATTTCGATTTGGGTGTTTTTTTTTCGAGAACTCTATTTTTCGAGGATTAATTTAAGTTATAGGCGTACCCAAAATAATTTAGTCTGAATGCTTGAGAATGAGAGTGGGGCCACCTCCAATTAATTTGACAATGTTTCGTCAAACTAATTCAAACCATGGGGTCCCAAACCAGTACACCCACCTTCAAATTAACTTTACGCGTGGCCACGCGAGCTGGGAAATGGGAAAAAGGAAACACATTGTTGGCGCAAAAAGCAATAGATTGGGTGTTGATTTATTCGTGCGGCTTTTCAATGGGTGGTCATTTCTCATTGTACACAATCAAATCTGTTCCAAACGCATCTTATTATTTGTAAATTTAAATGCCACCCGGTTAGGTTTAGTGTCATTATAATCATTGGGTCCTGTACTAGTACCCACCCGCAAATTAATTTTACGCGTGTCCACGCAAGCGGGGAGGAAGAAAACAGTGGTTGGCGATATGAAAAATAAATTGCATGTTTCTTTGTTCCACACCCCAATTAATTAGAAGAAGTTATTTGGGGTCCCCTAACCCAAGACAAAATAGTAGTTCTCCCACTCTTGAATAATTTTGCCTGAAATTAATTTCGGTGGTGGGAAGAGAACCATTTATTACATCTAGGTGGGGGGGAGGTGCCGTCGAGCAAATTAATAGAGGCACCTTGAAGAAGCAAGGACCCTTGGATTAATAAATACTTTTATTAATGTAGGTGGGGGACCACTCTGGAGACCCTTTGGGAGGATATGGCAGGTAAATTGCCAGAATACATATATGTACACATGCATATATGTCAGGATATATGCCACTGATTGGATCACACAAAGCAAAGTCATCGACCAAGCGGCTATTTTGGGCGAGCCAGTTTTTTCTGCTTTAAGCTTAGAGGCCAATCGATAATCCAACACGTACTGTACTTTTTCTGGTTTCGGTCTAGCAAGCTTAAACACCAGCAGTGCTCCGACAGCTTGATTGCGAGTGCTTTCAAAGCTGCTGGTTTTTCAACGTCAACGTGTTCTGTTGGAAGAAACTACAACAATTGCCAGGTGGATCGCATGACTCTTGCCAATAACTGTGTGGTAGCATTTGTGTACATGCATTGTTGTTCCATTGTCCCTTCAGTCTTTCTGGTTTTAAGAAAATGTTTAGTGAAGGAGAAGGGAAAACAAAAACCAAACTGTTGGACTTTTGGAGGGTGATGCTTGTTTAAGTTAAATAAACAAATTGGTTTTGTATGGTTTTGTTGGTTTTCCTCGCATCCTTGTCGATGCTTTTGTTTTTTCTCCAAGTCGCGTTTGTTTCGCAAAGTCCACCCATGCACGCAAATATGCACCCTTGCTATCTGCTATAGGAGGAAGAAGAGGACGAGGAGGAGGAGGAGGTGCTGGCACAGGCACAAAATCTAGAGACCCTCACCTGAGAGGTGGGAGAAACATGTGCTGTGGTGTACCAATATATAGGTGCATGGAGTCGTACTGCCCTGTGTTTGCGCTGGGATGGGAAGCGTTTGCGGAAGCGGCATCACCATTCCCGCATCCTGCCTCTTCCTGCCCCCTCCTGTCGCTTGGAACGGAAGGCAAAATAAGGCATATTTGCTTTTGAAGTCACAGCATGTGAGACACTGGCACTGACAATATTGTCATCGGCTATTGGTGATTCACAACGTCTCGAACTATTTGCGCATAAAAAAGGCCATAAAGCAAAAACACAATTAAATACAATTGTAAAGAAATGAGGCATTGGAAATTCACAAGCAAAAGTAGCGGCATTGGGAAAGATTGGGGCTTCACCGTGTTTTGGGTTGTTGACCTGTACCAGGGACTGTTACCCATTGTTTGAAGGGGATAAAGGATCATAACCCGACCCGAAATTAACATTATAACCGCCGTTACAAAGAGTCCCAATGAGGAGTCCATTCCCACTAATCAACGCCTTCATTTAGGCAATAACAAAGGTAAGGCTGTCAGTGGCTCATGTCACAACTGCTTCTTTGCCCATCGCACGTGCCCATGCCACGTCTTTCAAGAGCTCCCGGGAGTGGCTGATTGCCAGCAAAGATTGTCCTGGTTCAGTTCAAGAAGACTAAACTGGCTAGAAGCACCAACAAAAGCAGATTTCAACACTAGAATATAACTTCTTATTATTCCCGAGAGCGCGTTAGCGTAGGGTTCTTCCAACAAAAATGATGCTGAGATAATACTACGGTTTCATTATATTTTCACATCTTACATCCTACATCTCTTCTCTTCTCTTCTCTGCTCTCTTCTCTTCTCTTCTCTTCTCTTCTCTTTTCTTCTCTTCTCTTCTCTTCTCTTCTCTTCTCTCGTCTCTTCTCTTCTCTCTTCTCTTCTCTTCTCTCTTCTCTTCTCTTCTCTTCTCTTCTCTTCTCTCTTCTCTCTTCTCTCTTCTCTCTTCTCTCTTCTCTCTTCTCTCTTCTCTCTTCTCTTCTCTTCTCTTCTCTTCTCCTCTCCTCTCTTCTCTCTTCTCTTTTCTCTTTTCTCTTCTCTCTTCTTTTCTCTCTTCTCTTCTCTTCTCTTCTCTTCTCTTCTCTTCTCTTCTCTTCTCTTCTCTTCTCTTCTCTTCTCTTCTCTTCTCTTCTCTTCTCTTCTCTCTTCTCTTCTCTTCTCTTCTCTTCTCTTCTCTTCTCTTCTCTTCTCTCTTCTCTTCTCTTCTATCTTCTCTCTTCTCTCTTCTCTATTTTCTT